AAATAATTTATGTAAAAAAACCAAACAACTTTTTATAACCAAAAAAAGCATTGCCTAACTAAAAAATGATCCAATTTACAAACACATAATTAAATTTTAAAAATATATCAAGTATGTATCTACACGGGCGTACCCGAGTATTCTTATTTCCAGTCATTCTCGTCATTTTTATTAGAAGTGGGTATCATCATGTTGACATATTTATTTGTGGTATTTTTTGGTAACTTAACTTTAGATTAATTACGATGAGTGCTTGCACACTTTTACTAATTTAGCACTTTAGACCATTTATTTTCAATTGTGACTGTTAACTCCTCACACTTTAAGTCTAATCATAAGGCAAAACTTATCATGTGAGTGATACATACCATTTTTATCCCCACATTTGCTCCCCTCCATTTTTACTAGAATCTCATTTTAATCTTTGCACTTTCACCAAAAACTCACTTTTGAGTCCTGACCTTCCACTTTTAATTTTTGTCAACGTCACTAATGATAGATGAACGGAATAATAACATTGTAACTTGACTGAAAGTGTAAAATGTTGATTATCACAATTAATAATAAAGGGACCAAAGTAAGATTTTAATAGAAATACATAAATATTATAGTTGTGCTTGGATCATAAATTTGGATAGGATTTAAAACGAGAAAGGAAAAGGGAAACAGAGAAAAAAAAAAAATCTTATATTTGATTTACATTTTTCTCATCTATTTTACTACTTCTTAAATTTCTATCTAAATTTATAATTAAAACACAGCATACGTCTAAGATACCCATTAATTCCGTATGTCAAAAATATGTGAGTAGCATTACCAACCAGTTCGTAGAAGGTCATGAAGCTAGTCTCTCGCAGTTTAGGAAGTCTTCTGATTGGGGTGAAGTATTTATCGAGAAACTTAAAAAATCATGAGAGCCAGTGAGTCATGACCTTGTGGTTATTCCATCTTTTTACTAGTTCTTGTAACAAATTCTCATCTTTCTTTTCCTTAAAGATGGTAGTACCTGATAACACACACAAAAAAATAAAATAAAAAATTATCAAAAATGCTTTAGAGCTCTAATATAAGAGCTCTAATAGCTCTAATGGGAATGTGAGACCTACTCTGATGTGATGTTTGTACCTTGTTTTGTATTTTTTTTTTTTTTTGCTTTGACACATCACTAGAGCTCAAATTAGAGCTCTAGATTTAGAGCTCTCTAGCATTTTCGAAAAATTATATCTCTAGGCAGGGAAATTTATAGTGTGCACTCTTAAAAAATATATAATAATAATCAGTGTGTTTGGTTTTAATTTTCTGAATTCATTTTTTTAAAAATTGAATTTTTTGTTTTTCATATTTTTTTTTTGTTTTTAGGGAATATTTTTAAAATTTTAAGCATTTTTTTACCTTTTTAGATGCACCTTACTTAGGTGTATTTAAATAGTAAAATATTTGTAAAAAAATATTTTTAAAAATTAATAAATACACAAAATTACAAAAAATATACAGAATTTTTATTTTTATTTTTTTGTATTTTTGGTATTTAGTGAATTTTTTAAAGATTTTTTTTCACAAATATTATACTTTTTAAGTGTATTTATGTTAAGTATGTCTAAAAATTTTAAAAAATGCTTAAAATATTAAAAAAATTCAATGAAAATAAGAAAATACGAAAAATGAAAAAGTAGAATTTTTTGAAGAGTGAATTCTGAAAATTGAAACCAAACAGAGTGATTTTTTTTGTGAAAAAAGTTATTAATTATTTGATATATGTTATGATATTTTATGATAAAATTACAAATAAATATTGAATGATGTGGCTACGTTTTGACTTATCATTTTATAACAAAATGTCTATTTCAATGAAATTTAATTACAGAAATGCCATTCTTGCATAAAAGTTCTGTTTCATTAGCATTTAACAAATGATATATGTACAAAATATTTATACTAACTTTTTTTCACAAGGATGTTGTGACATTGGAATTTTAGAAAATACAAGCCACTTTGATGAGTCTTTGTTTTAAAATGACCAAAAAAATAATAATAATAATAATTGTCACATTATTATGAATTGATTTTACTCTTTTTTTAATATATATATATATATATATATATTATTGAGAATAGCTATGACACAAACAAATTCATCGATGTCTGGCACTTGCAAGTGAGGAATATGTATGTTAAAAAAAAATTAAAAAAAAAACTCAAGAAAATCTCTTGCACTTGCCTTGGATGAGATATAATCTTCAAAGCTCTTCTTGTATTCATCATATAACTTCTGACTTTGAGGACCAATAGGCTTACCACACATATTGTAAACAATTCTGTTGAGCTCTGAGTTAAAGATATTCAAGTAGTATAACAAAAATTCATATGATTTTTTTAAAAAAGCAAACATATAATAAATTCAAAGTAAGGTTAATTACATACTCATATGGCTTTGCATGAAAACACCTAATCCTTTAAAATGTAATTAAAGTTGTGTTTTTAGGTTAGATCCTAAGGAAAAAGTGTAATTGGAGCAATTAACTCTGTAATTAATCTTTTAAAGTGTAATTGATCCTTTAAAATATAATAATAAGCAATGAAACATATAAACATTCATGTAAATTTAGACAATCATGTTCATGAGGATCTGACAGCTAATAGTAGTAGTAGTAGTCAAATTGAGATTGTTCCAAATAATAAGACAGCTAAATTTTTGTTTGGATCTAAAATTTATGGAGAGAAAAGAAAAATCACAAATTCAATACCTAGACACTTTTGCTCAAAAACAAAAACAACATCCACACATGAAGTTGGTCCATGTTATGCCTTAAGAAAGGGTCACTTTGGGCTTATCTTCATAATTCAAATAATTTATTTTAATTTTAAAATTACATTTGCTGTCAATTTTTGTTAAAAAAAAATATTTTTTGATCATTTAGTTACTACTAACTAATCAATTTACTTTTTTTTTATGAATAATTTACCTACGTATCCCATAAAATTAACATTTGAATTATAAAAATAGACTAAAAAGAGAACCCACCTCATGATTATTCTACTTGAGGTAGGGCAGGGATCCCAAACTCCTCTAAACACAGATAAAGAGTAAACAAATATGAAAATTAAAGATTAAGAGAGAGAGGACACGTGTAAAGAGTCACATACTCTTCAGGAGTGAAGGTGTGGGGACAAACTCCTTCCAAACTGTCAATGAGTTTGTTGATTGCATCTTGTAGCACTGGCCATCCTTCTTCAAATGGGATGGTTTTGCAGCTAGCTTCTCCTTCCTTGGCCATGTTTGGATGTTGAGAATGTTGGATTTATTTTCTAGTGTGGCCCAATAGCTTACATATATTTACATGTTTTAATTTATTTGGACTCCAGAATTAGATAAAGCTAATATTATACATAAAGTTCAGTAATTAGAATTTTAATATAATCACTCTTCTAAGATAAGAAGGAAACATTGATGGATTAGGAATTTTTCTGATAAGAGTTTATTTGGCCCTCTTCTCTCCTCTATATAAGGATGGGTGACTCTCCTTTCATATGATAAGTATTTTTCCATGACTGTAAGTTTTATAGTCATCCTAATTAAGAGAGACAGAGAGAAGAATGTGAGCCAAGAATTAAAGGCTCAACTATTAGGGGTATTTTCTCAACTTCAAGAATTAAATGTTCAACTATTAGGGGTATTTTCCTAACTTCTCTAATTCAATGACTGACAAAGGTATGTTCGTTTATTCTTGAATTGTATTAAATTCAAGATCCTGTAAAGTTTAATTCCGTATTATTATTATGGTTACATGTATTATCAAATCTTACATGTGGTATCAAATCTTTAGTTTTATGAATCAATACACCTTGAAATAATAATATATTTATGATACTATTATTAATAATACGGTTCCTTTGTTTTATTAAAGGTATTGACTTTAAAATATTATCTCAATTGGTTTGTATTCATCAAATGTGTAATACATTTTTTTTTTTTTAATTTTTGTTATGCTGTTAACATGCATAGCCATGACTTTAAAGTTTGCATGATAGCAAACTACTTATTTGTTACTTGGGGTGGTTGGTCAAATTTTTTTTAAGTTAAAACCTTGTGTTCTTATTAGAGAATCAGACCATTCATTGCGGGACTCTACGGAAATTTACAGAATATTGTCTATTATTGTTAATATTCATATATTTTTATGATTTAAATTTGATATCATGATGTAATTTTATGATATTGGATATTAAATATTGAAGTGGTTAATACATATTAGGTGTAATTCTTATTGACCATTATATAAGATATTCATGATTGTCATATTGCATATATATATATATATATATATTCATGTTCATCTAGAGTGATTGTTATTATCATATTGGTAATTGCAATCACATAAAAGAAATTCTAGAAATGATAATAGTGATTGAATTAATGATAATTAAATAATTCAAATTAATGAATAGAGAATATTATTGGTTAGTTTCGTATTCATAGGGTTTACTAATTTAGTAGCTGCCAAAGTGGCCTAGATTTGTAAAACTTATGAATACAAAACTATATTAAAGAATTGCTAAAAAGGTAACATTAAGGTCAATAATATTTTCAATTGCAGTTATAATTACGAGATTGAGACTAGCCCAAATGAGAGTCACTTTCGAATAATTATGAACTGGGTAGGGTAATGTAACATATGTAATTTGATAGATTAGAATTGAATACCCAAAGGTAACATGACTAACTGAAAAGTTTCATAAATTACTTTAGACCCACATAAGTGTTTCTTGATGAGTGGACAATCAATATACCTAAGTTTTGCCCAAAGGAAAGACTTATGTGATATCAATAGTTCATCATTATAATTCTCAAAGCTTTAATATGTATATTGTTCTACCTTATTCCAGCGAAAGTTCCCACCTCATTGCACTCTCTTACATCGGGCGCCCCTCTACTTACTGGCTCGAATTTTTTGAAATGGTATGAACATATTCAGTTTACACTGGGTGTATTGGACCTCGATATGGCATTGCTTGAAGATAAACCTGCAGACATTAATGAATATAGTACTACAGAACAAGTTGCCCTTTCTGAATCTTGGAAAAGGTTCAATAGACTCAGTTTGATGTTCATGAAGATGACCATTGCAAATAACATCAAGACCTCCTTACCTCAAACTGTTAATGCATTGGAATACTTAAAGGCTGTTGAAGATCGATTTAGATCTGCTGACAAGTCACTTGCTGGCACTATTATGGCTGAATTGACAACAATGAAATATGATGGCAACCGAGGAGCTCAAGATCACATCCTCAATATGGCTGACAAAGCTGCAAAACTTAAAACTTTAGGGATGCAAGTTGATGAAACTTTCCTCGTGCAGTTTATTCTCAACTCACTTCTATCACAGTTTGGCGCATTCAAAATTCACTATAACACCAATAAAGATAAGTGGAGTTTGACTGAGCTGACTAATATGTGTGTTCAGGAGGAAGTGAGGTTGAGGAAGGAAGGACGTCAAACTGCATTGGCTATAACTCATGGAGCTATAAAGAAAGAGAAGGGTAAGTTTGTAAAATCATAGAAAAATCCACCAAAGAAAAATAATGAACCTGGGACAGAAAATCAGGCTCAGAATGGTTTCACTATCAAGTGCTACTTTTGTGGCAAGAAGGGACATGTGAAGAAAGACTGCAGCAAGCGAAAGGCTTGGTTCGAAAAGAAAGGTAATAAATTTTCTTTTATTTGTTATGAATCAAATCTTGCTAAAGTACCTTCTAATACGTGGTGGATTGACTCTGGGGCCACGACCCAATCCATAAGTTCCTACCCATGTCTTAGTGGTGAAAAATATTTTATCACATTTATAGATGACTTCTCACGTTATGGATATATGTATCTAATTCATGAAAAGTTTCAGGCTGTTGACATCCTTGAGGTGTACATACCTGAAGTCGAGAGACAATTAGATAGAAAGGTTAAAACAGAGAGATCAGACAGGAGTGGTGAGTATTATGGTAAATATGATGAGTCAGGCCAAAATCCTGGCCTATTTGCTAAATTCTTAGAAAAGAAAGGCATTTGTGCTCAATATACAATGCCTGGTACGCCACAACAAAATGGAGTTGCTGAAAGGCGTAATCGTACACTTCAAGATATGGTTAGGAATATGTTAAGTTACTCAATTGTACCTATTTCACTGTGGGGTGAAGCTTTAAAGACTGCAATGTATATCTTAAATAGGGTTCCTAGTAAGACGGTCCCAGTAACTCCTTTTGAGTTGTGGACTGGTAGGAAACCTAGTTTGAGACACTTACATATTTGGGGTTGTCCAGCAGAGGCAAGAATCTTCAATCCACAAGAGAAAAAGTTAGACTCATGAACAATATCTAGATATTTTATTGGTTATTCAGACAAGTCTAAAGGGTACAAATTCTATTGTCCTAATCACAGTACGAGGATAGTAGAGACTGGTATTGCTAGATTCCTAGAGAATGGTGAAATTAGTGGGAGTGAAAAAACACGAGTGGTGAATTTTGAGGAAATTAGGGTGGATGTCCCAACATTTGACCCTTATTGAAAAATTCTTGTACCTCAGACTATTCCATAGGTTGAGGGAAACGAACAACATAATGAAAATCCTTCACCACCTCATGTTTCACCACTTCATGAAGATACCACCATTGAAAATATTGTAGAACCACCATAACTGGCAGTTCTGAGAAGATCTCAGAGGGAAGGAAAGCCTGCCATTCTAGATGATTACATGGTGTATCTACAGGAATCTAATTTTGATATTGGGATTAACAAAGATTCAGTCTCATTTTCACAAGCCATGAATAGTGATGATTCTTCTAAATAGGTCAATGTTATAAATGAAGAGTTAAAATCCATAGAACAGAATAGTGTTTGGGATCTCGTCGAATTGCCTAATAACTGCAAAAAGGTCGGGTGTAAATGGGTCTTCAAGACCAAGCGTGACGCAAAAGGCAATATCGAACGATTTAAAGCCAGACTTGTTGCCAAGGGTTTTCCTAAAAAAGAAGGCATAGACTATACAGAGACCTTCTCTCCAGTATCTAAGAAGGACTCGCTTAGAATCATCTTAGCATTGATAGCTCATTATGACTTAGAGTTGCATTAAATGGATGTGAAAACTGCTTTTCTAAATGGGAATTTGGATGAAGAAATTTATATGGAGCAGCCAAAAGGATTTGCAAAGAAAGGTAAATAACATTTAGCTTGGAAATTAAAGAAATCCATATATGGCCTTAAACAAGCTTCTAGGCAATGGTATTTAAAGTTTAATGATACCATTGCCTCTTTCGGATTCAAGGAAAATGCAGTTGATCAGTGCACATATCTGAAGGTTAGTGGGAGCAAGTTCATTATGTTGGTGCTATATGTGGATGACATTTTGTTAGCTAGTAATGACCTTGGCTTGTTGCATGAAACCAAGGAATATCTCTCCAAGAACTTTAAAATGGTCGATATGGGTGAGACAAACTATGTTATTAGAGGATGAACAAGAAATTGATCGCCATTGTACAACTTGCTGGTTGTTCGGAAGGGAAACAGGCCAGATATTAGTTTTGCAGTTGGAATGTTGGGAAGATTCCAAAGTAATCCTGGAATGGAACATTGGAAAGCAGTGAAGAAAGTTATGAGATATCTTCAGGGAACAAAGTGCTATATGCTCACCTATAGGAGATCAGAATAGTTGGAAGTTATCGGATACTCAGACTCATATTTTGCTGGTTGCCTTGATAGTAGAAAATCTACATCAGGTTTTGTTTTTCTACTAGCAAGTGGAGCAATTTCATGGAAAAGTATGAAGCAGTCCACTATTGCTTCATCTACTATGGAGGCTGAGTTTATGGCATGCTTTAAGGCTACAAATCATGCTTTATGGTTGCGAAATTTCATCTCAGGACTTGGTGTTGTTGACTCAATTACCAGGCCACTGAAGATATATTGTGACAATACCGCAGCAGTTTTCTTCTCTAAGAATGGAAAGTACTTCAGTGGTTCCAAACACATGGAAGTAAAATACTTAGTTATTAGAGAAAAAGTCCAGAAACAACAAGTGTTAATTGAAAACTTAAGCACCTCTCTTATGATTGCTGATCCATTCACAAAGGGATTGCCACCAAAGACATACAAAGAGCATGTTATCAGGATGGGTCTTTTAAGCAACCCTTGATGTGTATGATTAATCATGAGTGCTTATTTTTATTTGACACTATTTGCGCAATAATAATTTTGTTTCTAATTTTCCTGTTTCTAAAAGTGTGTGTACACATTAAATTGAATATTGATAAACAGGAAATGTCTTAACAGGACAAATTACAGGGGCTTTTTAGGCAAATAATTATATATCCCGATAATGGACTGGGTTGGTGAAGGTTATCGATGGTATATTGCATAGAAGGAAATATGACATAAATGTTATATAACTACTATGACTCACATTGGTGATCTGAAGTAATCACAGTATTATAGTTTCTAATATATCTGAACTTATTGGCTATTTTTAAAATTCGTGATCACGTGTCAAAATTTTTAGTGTGGAATCCAATGAGTCAAAAATTTTATAAATTGCATATATGTATATTTTTTATGTTTGAAAAAACTCATAATTGCGTCATAATTGGCTTAATGGGCCTAGTGGGAGAATGTTGGATTTATTTTCTAGTGTGGCCCAATAGCCTACATATATCTACATGTTTTAATTTATTTGGACTCCACAATTTGATAAAGCCAATATTATATATAAAGTTCAGCAACTAGAATTTTAATATAATCACTCTTCTAAGATAAAAAGGAAACATTGATGGATTAGGAATTCTTCTGATAAGAGTTTATCTGGCCCTCTTCTCTCCTCTATATAAGGATGGGTGACTCCCCTTTCATATGATAAGTATTTTTCTATAGTGATCCCGATTTTCCCTTCATTGTTTATTGTATTCCGGACTCGGTTTGTGAATGATTGTTCTTGTCTATATCGCGTTTTCTTTCTTTAATTCTTTGTATTTGAGTTTTGGGATGTGTTGGGCAGGTTTGAAACAGGTTAGTTGTGTTTTAAAACAAATAGCTACTGCCCAGATTTTGGTCTCCCTGCTCGAGCAGAACTTTTCACGCTCGAGCAGGCTTACTTTAGGAATTTCGACGCTCGAGCGGAATTCTTCAGCCTTCAGTATTTTCACAAGTCTGAAATACTGAGATTGTGCATCGGACGCTCGAGCGTCAACTTTCACGCTCGAGCGGGGACCTTCGTCTTCAGAACTTCTGGCAGCGTGTGTTCCACGCTCGAGCGGGAGTCTGTATCTGACGCTCGAGCAGGGCGTTCCACGCTCGAGCGGACTGTGTATATTTTAGTCCGAACAGTTAGCATTTTGAACCATTTTCTCTTCTCTCTCTCTCTCTCTCTAAAACTTCCCAAAACCCTAATTTGAGAGCTTCTCTCTCTAGAATACTCTCTCTCTCTACATTTTGAGCAAGATCTAGTGATCTCCTCACCCTCTTCCTTTTGATAAAAAGCTTGAGCTTCGCGTGGGCTCCATTTTGATCTGAAAAGTTGTGGGTTTGGAGCACTTTCGAGTTTCTTTATCATCTCATTTGAGCTTCGAAATTCAAGGTAGGGATAACCTACTCCTCTCTATGAGTTTTGACATAAATGTTGAGTATTTTGTATAAACGGTGAGTTATGGAAATTTTTGGAAGTTAGGGTTTTGAAATTGAAATTATAAAAGAGGGGTTTTCTATTTTTGGGGTTCCAAGTGTATGAGTGGTCCCTAAAATGAAGTTATTGCGTATGATTGAAGAGATTTGGTCTTAAGATCAATATTTGAGAAAAAGGGGAAAAGCCCTAATTGAAATTAAATAATTAATTTGGGATATATGGAAATATGAAATTGAGTTAAAAATCATGAAATTGTTGAAATTATGAGATTGACTGGTGGAGTTGGATTGCTTAATCACTCACCTTTGAAATTGTAGATAATTTATCTGTTTGATAATTTATTATCTGTTTAGAAATAATTGTTTTGGGCTATCGGTGGAGGATAGTCTTGATTGTTGTAGACACTGCATGTTGATTAGGGAAATTGAGACTATTCATCTAGAATATGTCATTGAATATGACGGTTGAATTAATACATTGATTATGTGTCTGGATTGATCATTGTATATGATAAAGAATTTGAATACATTGCATATGTATCTTATTGGGAGGAGATAGGGACTGTACTCCGTGGTTTAAGAGGAGATAGGGGATGGACTCCATTGATAACTAAGTTGGCCGGAGTGTCCAGGGTGAAAGTCCCGAAATCTTGATTACGTTTGCATCACGTAAATGAATTGAAGTGTTGAAGTATTAATGATATGAGTTGTAGTCTTATTTTAAATTGATTATGATTGGAGTGTTGATAGTATGAGTTGTGATCTCATTTGAAACTGTTCGGATAAATTGAGAACCATAACTATGAATTGGTTTGGTTAATGAAACGGAAAGGGATTGAAATATATTTGTGAATATGGATTGGTTATGAAAGAGATGTGCATTTGTTTATATGAGTTAAACATTTATCAAACGCTAATGTTTTAGTTATTGCTCATATTTGGTTTAGCGTATCTCTACTAGGCTTTGGCTCATCCTATATGGGACATCATTTTCAGGTACAGGTGAGATGCTGCCTCCAAGGATGTAGCTTGGAAGGCTTAGAAGCTGAAGGCTTATTTTGTAGTTATCTTTGTATTACATGTAATCCAAGCCAAGGGCTTAATATGTTTAGTGTTAGTACTCTCTTTTGTTGAACCCAAGTGTTTACTTGGAAAGTTGTAAGCCCGTAGGGCATTTACTTTTGTTGTCAACATGTAATACTTTCGTACTAAATACTCTGATAAATAGAAATATGTTTTATTCTCTTATGTCTATGGATGCCATAAATGTTGGGTTTATATGTATTATTTTGAGGGCGTCATAACTTGGTATCAGAGCGTACCAGGTTTGAATACGTTGGGTACGTGGGAAGTGATTAGTACCACAATGGGTTTGTCTCGCTTGTTAGAGACTTAAGTTTAATGCTATGTGTTTGTTTGATAACATGCTTATGTGACTAAATGGGTATGGAATTTAGTTTCTAGGATGTTGATTGGATCCTTGGGTTTCTAGGAGTCCTATTGGAAAGGCACTTGATCGCTACTGTTTCTAACTGGAACTCTAGTAACGCCACGGGACGATCACTATCCGGGAATGAAATTCATAAGTGCCTATGTGATTATGTGCTTATGTGGACTGAATTACAGTTGTCCATTGCATTAGGACGTGAGTGAAATAGATTCGGCACATTTACGAATGTACTAATGTCTTTGTGACCTTTATTAGGATGTCAGGACAAGGACGTAGTGGTAAGCGTGGTAGGCTTAAAAGGCAGGAGACGCCTATACCGGATGACATTCCGGCATAGCAGGAGGGTGTTGGTCAGGCCAACGTTGCCAAGCCAGTAGGTCAGCAGGCTATGGGCGCCTTAACCCGCGAGATGGCAGGAGCATTGAGGGAGTCTATGGACATTCTCCGAG